TATAAAGTAACAAATATGAAAGCCGTTCTTCACAATGAAAAGATGCTGACAGTTTCGTGCTTGTGACCATTTACTTTTAGAACAAATCATATTTTTAGTTCGTTAATGGGATCTATAATAAAGGCTGTCACTACAAAACGACAAGAAAAATATTCTTCTGTTACATCAATACAGTGAACATCATTTTAGTGGCTGAGGAGTGGCGAAAGATGCCCTCTGTCGTTGTTCGTATCTTAACGTACACCAACTTCCCACGTAACAACGTTTGCGGAAAGAAAAGCAGTGAAAAGCAACCAAGCTTGGGGGGTGGTTTCTCACTTTATCAGCCGTGGGATGTACGTGGAAATGAGCGGGCTTTAGAATATATCCGAGAAAACATCCATCCTAAGACCTGCCATTACATCGGTGTATAGAGAGAAGACAGGCACACACCACATAGGCTTCCTTTATAGCAGACGACCCAAGTGCCATGAAACACATTTACTGGGCCATTTTTCCATAGCACCATCAGTTTCTTTTTGGGGAACCTCATTCGCTGTGGCTTACTGACTGACCGTAGGAGACGGCTTACATGCACCCCGCGTGTCAAACGGCTTCAACTTCACAGAGTAGAGATTCATCTTGCGACACTTTCGTTCCTGGTATTGGCTCCTGCGCTCAACGGTTTCACTCACATGTTCTAATAAAGGGGAAGTAGGTAAGTGCTCCCCGCACCAAATTAAGAGGTATGAGGGAGTGGATGTATAGATCCACGTATTCTTAACTTCGGCACTAGACGGAGATGGTGGGGGCACGGGGTAGCGTAGTTGGTTGAGGGGCTATGCTACAAGCTGGAAGATCGCGGGTTCAAGGCCCGATTAAGTCATTACTTTTTTTTTTAAATTGACCTAATCCTTCCAACTGCACTATGGACCTGGGGTGGACTCAGCCTCTAACAGAAATGAGTACCAGGAATTAATTAAATAATTTTCCTGGGGAGTAAAGCGCGGCCGGCGCGTAAGGCTGACAACCTTACTGCCATCTTTGAGCCGATTGTCTAGATAATGTGGGACCCTCAACGTCTTACAACCCTATGGGCCTTTACGTCCTGGTACAGGGATAGCTTTACTTTACTTTTTTTTTTAATACTAGACGGAGATGAGTGGTAGGAGGTTGGATGCCGCCCCCCCGAACCGGTCTGGATTTTGTGAATTCGAGAAAATACCCTGTTCCTACCGGGAACTGAACCCCGATTCCTCGGCCGTTGAGCCTCTAGCCGGTCTCTATACCGACTGAGATATCCCGGCTCAACTGTTCTAATATGATCCACGAAGTTAAAATTAACACAAAACACATAAACTAAAAGTGATACGGAAGTTATTTTCGTTGTCTGGATCCATCTACAAGACCTAATAATTATCCACAGAGTCACTGGGGTTTTGGACTTCTTCCATCGTTCGGAATTTTGAGTAATACGACACGACGTTTCGGAAAAGTCGTGTCCTCCATTACCTAAAATTCCGGACGAAGGAGAAAGTCCAAAAACCCCAGTAATTCTGGGTGTCATCGTCCATCGTCAGAATCCTTTAGAATCTAATTAATAATTATCGTTAAGACTACAACTTATAAGTACGTCATTAAAGGATGGTGAATTTTATACGTACAAGGAAACTGAACATTCTTACAAGTTCCCTGTTTCTTCCACATTCAAGCTTTTGTTTACGTAAAATAATGGGCAGTACGGGCCTCACATTTTACGTCCTGAATTTCTGCAATGCGAAGAGCAGAACGTCCGCCAAGCCCGAGTGACAGCCATGCTGAATTATTTAGTACTTCCATAAAGCAAAATGTTCATATTTCTCAGTATGAAAAACAGCGTATAGGAAGGCATATATCCTGTCATGCTGTTCTATGTTTATGTTNGGTGTCATCGACCATCGTCAGAACCCTTTAGAATCTAATTAATAATTATCGCTAAGACTACAACTTATAAGTACGTCATTAAAGGATGGTGAATTTTATACGTACAAGGAAACTGAACATTCTTACAAGTTCCCTGTTTCTTCCACATTCAAGCTTTTGTTTACGTAAAATAATGGGCAGTACGGGCCTCACATTTTACGTCCTGAATTTCTGCAATGCGAAGAGCAGAACGTCCGCCAAGCCCGAGTGACAGCCATGCTGAATTATTTAGTACTTCCATAAAGCAAAATGTTCATATTTCTCAGTATGAAAAACAGCGTATACGAAGGCATATATGCTGTCATACTGTTCTATGTTTATGTTCTTTATGCTACAAGCGAATGTTCTAGATGTTACAAAATATTCAGAAAACCACATAAATAATGCTGTCACGTATTTGGGTGTGTGAGACTATAGACGGGTTTTGGATTGATGGCCGGATTTATTACACACTTACATAACTCGTTACTTCTTACTTCTTCAGGGCCAAAAAGGCTTATATTCTGAAGGAGGTAGCATGTTCCTCTGAAACGTCGGTAAATATCTATTAAACTACACGACGTCACATCCCAGATGGCAGAGCTCAAATATGAAGAAACGTAAGTGTAAATAAATTTGTAGGCCTAATTATGCTTTCGTTAGCTAAAAATTGTGAGTCTAGTTAGTCGGTTATTGTCACGAGGTCGTTTCATACTACGAATGAAAATATAATTTTATGCTTGTATCATTTTCAACGAGGTGGGTTTCTATCAGCAAACAATCGCGCCAATTACTCAATTTTTATAGAAATCAACATATTTCACGCACCCCCTTACTATAGGGGCCCTATTCTAATGAGAGGGTCGACTTCTGCATTCCGCACTGACCGATTCAATGCGACTGAATTCTATTATTTTTAAAACGTGATATGAGTTTTTAAATACATACACGGTGTAGGAAATGGCAACAAATTTCAAACGGGGCGTTCTTTCTGCTGACCCTTCCCAAAAACGTTTAACTTCTGAAGGTTATCAAGACAGGTCAGGATTTTCTTTGATTTCACTTAGTTTCTGAAGCGATTTCTGTGTTTTCCAAGTCCTTACGTACCTTCAAAATTTCATGAAAGCCTTACGTTAAGACCTCAGTGTGTTCACACCAGGTCTGAAGAAATCGGTTTTTGCAACGACTACCTGAGTCAAAACCCAAAACTGCAATTACTAAAAAAATATTTAAAATAGTGCTAATTCAGAGTACAATAAATAAATTAATTTTTCATCAAATAATAAGGCATATCCAGAAGAGTCGAGTTAACCTGCATATGGCATATACAAAAATACACCCTATTCGAAATGTCGATGTGGGAAGACGCCACACCTGCCAATCCGCCAACTACACAATTTTCACCGGTTCCCTTCCATTCATTCAACATTGGTTTTACAGCCCTTTGTTGGGCCCTCGCCGCTTTTTCAGTTTCGTCGGTAGGACTCATTGGATGGGGGATCAGCCCGTCGCAAGGCCGCTACCTATACACAGAATACAAGCACATACAGGGTGATTCACGAAGTTTTACCCCCACTTACGGAGGGCATTCCTGAGGTAATTTGGAACAAAAAATGTTAATATAGTAATGGTATCCAACTCATAATTAAAAACATACAGTATTTTGAAAACTGGCGAAAAATCTTTTTTTCTTTGAATTTCAGTCAAAACAAATTAGAAACACAATACAAACTTTTTTAAATCGTTAATGTTTTAGGAAAGAAGCATTCTAAAACCATTTTTTTTTCAAATTTTTAATTTTGCATTGTGCAACATTTTTCATCGATTTTGTGTTACAAAATTACATTATTTTCAGCATCCCATTCTGTAAACATACCAATGGTTGCATATCACATCCTTCTATCAATCTGTTTCCTTTAAACTGTGGTGCTTTAGAAGATGACTGGATTTACATAAGATTTTCAAAAAGTCTCCCTGCACGTCAACACAATGTGTCGCACGCGTATGAACCGCTCTGCCTATCTACCTACGCGCAACATTCAAACCGGTCTACCTTATCTGCTGACATAGCTGACTGGAACGTATGGTCGCCCACGCTGAAGCATAGCGCTGCATTCACCATGATGCGTTTCGAAAATCTATTGTTACTCCATAACTATTGAAAATTGACCACAAGTTTATAAGGAAATTTTGCAGGAAATAACCCCAGGAATATGTACCATAAGCCGGGGTAAAACTTCGTGAATCACCCTGTATACATCCATGCCTTGTGTGGGAGTCGAACCCAAGATCCTAGTGCTCAAGCGGGCGAAGACAATTCTTTGATCGGCTCGATTCCCTTTTCTACAACAAATAACTTGTAATTTACGTAAAAAACGTTTATATTCAGGAAATTCAGCAGTATGAACACATTTAGTCGTATCATGTACGAACGGTATTCGAAGTATTTTGCAGTCGACAAGTCCTAGGTACTGACAGGACAAAATGAGAATTCATTACAAAATATACTGCATACTACCGATAACTTGAGCTACCGAAAAGCACAAGAGGACTAACGCACATTATTAATATTATTAGAAGTTATCCGGAACACAATATAAGCTAAGAAATTTCCGTGTCTTCTAGAACCATGGACTACAGGCTGAAAATCGCTTCAGCTGCTCCAGTCATTTCATATAAAAGTACCGAAATACACGAAAAACATTGCGGACACGAGGGCCCCCCGATTGAGCAAATTTGGGCAGTCCTTCAGGAGACGACTGCAGTCCTAACAGGTGTCCAAAACTGCTTTGCTCTGGTAACAGTTTTACTAGAATCCTGTCAGGGAACAGAAGTTAGATCAGATGTAACATGTTTCTTCCTCGACATCAATCAATGTTAAACACACGTATAAGATCCATGGCATAGTTTATCAAACTCAGTGCCGCGATCCCCCGGGGGTGGCAATATACCCCAACTGAACCGAACAAACGAAATTAAACACTTGAGCCAAATTTACGTAATTTCAGAATCTGCATGCAAGTAGAGTAACAACAAAATATCCTCGCAAATTCACAGGAAAAAGGAATGTAAACACTTACCCGCTTCATCATGGAAAACTTCAGTGTACCTTTCAACAGTAATACTTCCAGCAATGGGAACTTTCCCTTACCTGAAAAGAAAAAAATAGAAAAAAAAAAGTTAGAAGTCATCAAAACGGGTCCCAAACACGTAACGTGGGCTGAATATAAATCAAATATAACGAAGTGTGACATTACGTGGCCCAGGAGAGATGTGCTCACTCGAGCTCACCGATCACAAACTGGCAGAAGCTTATACAGCATCTACTGTTGTATGTCAACCTTACTTTCAGATAGTGTGCCCAGTTTTCACAAAACGAGGATTCGATTACCGAGCTGGGGTAGTAAAGAAACTGCACCTGGGACAGGGACAGGGACCCATTCGTTTTACAATTAGTTTACTGTGTTTTTGTTTACGATTACATTCTGTGACTCTCAGTCACTTCAACCAAAGCGACTGAGTGAACTCAATCAATGACTATCAATAAAGTAAAGTTAAGGGGAAGTTGGAGATATAGCCCCACACTTTCTTAACCTCAGCACTACTTACAAATGAGCGGTCAGCTTCACTATCGCGCCGTTTTATCCCTGGACAAGTGTTTGCCGTACCAACTCAGAGGGGGTCCAGCGCCAGTATGAACGTGGTATTGACGGCAACAGCAAAAACCGTACTGGAGGGGGTCGCTTTTAAATAAACCGTAAAAGGGGTAAAACTATCCCTGTAACAGGCCGTGGAGGCCCATAGGGTTGTGAGAAGTCGAGGCTCCCACGTTTCTTCTAGACAATCGGCTCACAGATGGCGGTCAGGTTGTCAGACTTACGCGGCGGCCGTCAGTGAAGATTCCTTGTACTCATTTCTGTTAGAGGCTAAGTCGACCCCAGGGCCACAGTGCGGCTGGAAGGGTTAGGGAAACTGAAAAAAATTCCACCTCACAGGGACTCGAACCTACGACCTTCCGGCTTGTAGCATAGTGCCTCAACCAACTACGATACCGCGTGCCCCTTAATAAACAGACACTACACCCCCACGTGTATTCATATTTCCTTCAAATCCAGCCAACAGCAGTGGAAGGGCTGTATTCCATAATGTTGCAAAACAAAATTGCCAACGGCGCTCTTTCGGGTTCATTCGGCGTACTTAAATGTGTGAATAATCAAACGTGAATTACTGAAAGTTTCGTAACATCGAATTTCAACAAAATCTGTGATGGTTTATGGGAAAAGTTGAAGAGACCATTTATGGCCTTACGAAAACTAGGATTTATTACGGATAAGGTTGAAAATCTGAACCGCTCGAGTGAGAGTCTTCAACATCGAATTTGAAGAAAATGGCCAACAGTTAATGCACTGATACTAGACCAGACAGACATGATTTCCACATATATTGTTTATTTTACTTTGTAAAGAACGCTTAATCTGTATGTCAATCATTAAGTAACACTGTGCTGCCTGTCGTTACGTGCACAAATAACGACAGCCAGAGAGCATATTACTTTTTAAAATCGCAGGAGAAAATGTGTTTTCTTCATGTTGATTCTGTTCGCGAATTCTTACACCGTGTGGTTGTGGCAGATATTGACACTGTTTCGGAGCCACATGGTGCTTCCATCTTCAGGATTGAAGAGTGTAGGTTGCTTAGTTTATCATTATGTTTTTGAAAAGAAACACGGGAAGGATGGTAGTGTGGAGATTGGCGACTCGTCTGGGTCTAACGGGGAGTAGAGTGGGGGATGAGGCACCAATCCCCACTCTACCCCGTTCCTAAAAATGCTATATCGACACACCGAATATATAGAACAAATCACCAACGTACACACTCCGACCTTGAAGATGAAGGAAGCATGTATTGCTACTGGGGTGGGACTAAGTCCCTTGTACTGCGGCCACTACTGGCCTATTGTACCGGCCCCAGATGATAGGTGAGGGTGATTGTGGGGCAACTGGTGGAATGAAGATTGGCAGGGGAAACCGAAGTACTCGGAGAAAACCTGCTCCAGCGCCACTTTGTCCACCACAAATCCTACTTCACCAGACCCGGGATCGAACAGGGGGCGCCGCGGTTGGAAGCCAGCGACTAACGGCTTGAGCTATGCTGCGGCCCAAGGAAGCATGTACCTCTGAAACGTCGGCAACAACGCGCAGAACCACACGGTGTAATAACCCAAGAACAGAATTAACCACTAAAATCAGTACTGTGTTTACCTCCTTTCCTTCTTCCTTCTCCCCCTGTTCTCTGTCCATCGTTCATTTTCCCTGCCTATATATCTTTTCTTTCTTACTATCATTCCTTTTCCCGTCCTTGTCTCCTTTTGTCTTCAGAGTAAAGGCAGGTTCTTAAGAATCAGTGACGTCATAGCAACCTGTAGTCCCCTCGGTAACGGAAGAGTCTCTGAGGTGCAAAGAGAGACACGCCTTGACGACAAAGATCTACATCTTCCCAGCGGAAGAGTTCCTGAATAAAACCGCAGCCAGTGCCTTTTTTTATGTATTTGATCAGCAATCATAATATACATTCTATAAGCTAATGTTCTGGCTGTTTAGATGACTTGGTGAGGAGTCGTTCAGCGGCGAATCCTCAGTAATTCAAATCTGGTCAATTGGCCAGTTTCGTTTGAGTCATCTGTCTTCTCTTGTCGATAGCGTCTTTCGATGTGGATTTTTGTTATGATTTTGTTGTGATGTCTGTTGCTTTTTTGTTGGATGACGTCTTGTACGGAAGATATACCGAGATCGGTGTGGAGAGTTGCGTTGGAGACATACCGTGGTGCGTCGACTGTCATTCGTAGGATCTTAGATTGGCTTCTTTGTATTATTGCTATGTTAGATTTCCTGGCTCAGCCCCATAATTCCAGGCCGTCCGTCCAAATAGATATGATTATAGTCTTACAGATCAGAATTTTATTTTCGACTGTTAGCTTTGATTTTTTGCCTATTAGCAAGTTCAACTGTTTATTGGTAAAGTCTACTTACTTTCGTTTCTTGACTACATGCTGCTTCCATGTTATTTTGCTGTCTATAGTCATATCTAGGTATTTTATTTCTGCTTTGTGTGGTATCTGGATATCAGTGATGTATATGTCAGGTGTCGGCTTTTTCCGTACCGTGAAAGTTATGTAGCAAGTCTTTTTTTTTTTCATTTATTCTGATACGCCACTTCTCGAACCAATTTTGTAATGTACTAAGGTGATGTTGAAGGTCTGTTGCTGCTCTTTCTGGGTCTTTGTTAACTGACAATATAGCTATATCATCAGCAAATGGCCCAAGAGTTATATTTGAGGCAGTGGGTAGGACAGATGTAAATAAAGTGTATAAAGAGTGCCAAATAAATAGCTGATTTTGGCCGATGTGGGTGGATTAGTGTCTCAACGCGAGGATACCCAGTCTCCGCGACGCGTAATGTGGCTTTACCGGTAACTTCGACATTATAATCTGTGAACTGTTCGTAACATCACGTTTCAGCACTCTGTTTACTGTAAATGTTTCTCCCGTCTATCAGTACTTTCTCTCTGGAAGAGTGAGATTCCTTTCCCACATGTTTCGGACCTTTCTGGACCATCATCAGGTCAGCACAACTGTAAAAGGGTCTGAACAGAAACGGGCTGTAGGAAATAAACACAGGCTTTTCTGAGACAAGTACTGGCAAATGAAAGGGATATTATGTATTAAACCTATTTGCTTGAACATGATGTGAATCCGATTAAGGTGAAGTTTAAGCATGTTAATCACATGTAAAAGGTAAAGTTGTCCCTGTGCCTAACTAATTAATCACTAAGCCATGAAGGCGTATGGGGGAGTGGACGTATAATCCACATTTTCTTGACCTCGGCACTAGCTGCAGGTAGGTGATCAGCTTCACGCCCTTGCCACTTTACCCCCGGGGAAAGAGCCTCCGGTACCCACTGGATAGGAGGCTGGGTGAACCCCAGGGCCGGTCTCGACGATATGAAGAAGATAAAATTCTGACCCTATTGGGACTCAAACTTTGACTCCTAGGCGGTCGAACCCGTATGCAGTCGCTATACCGACTGCGCTACCGCGGCTCACATCAATCGTATGTACGAATATCATAAATGAAAACTGGTTACAATGAATTTCCCGTGTCCTATTTTCCTGCAGAATATTAAATTGTAGTAATTTCACGTGGATATTTGTTGGCTATTTGTTCAATTGTTCATGCGTTTTTTTAAGACTCAATATCACCTGCAGAAGCTATCAACCGTTAAGAGAAGAGAAAGAGACCGCGGTCTATTTGTCAAAGTCCTATCCTGGCAATCGCCGAGAGGTTCTGAAGAAATTCACGAAAGAACCTGTCTGTACAGCTGAGGGCCCACACTCGAATCGAAATTTCCGGAATGAGTGAGACTCGTTACCGCCGGCTTAACCTCGCTGGATGCCGTTTTCAGACCCCCTGTCTACATACGATGTCCCACAGGACTGTGTAGCAACAATGCTATAGACTTGTGTTCAAACCGGACCCAGTTCGAATCTTGGTACCATTATCGTGCAAACTGACGTAAAGTTCAATTTCGTTCCTTATCCTCTCTAGAGGAATTATAGAAACTACAAGTAACAGTGGCGTCCTTCCAGATTCTAACCTCAACACCATTTATTTACAACAAAGAACCCTCCCATTCTCATTCAACCTTTCTAACCTCTGTAATTCAAGAACCGTCGTCAAGCAACCTAACACTGAACGAATCAATGTACGCCTGCATATTCAGTATCACTACCTTCAATGATTGGCTGCATCCATTGAAGTTATTTGGGTAAATGCGTCTCTCTCTTTCCCTTCCAGGTGTCTCATATTTTGCGAAAAAAATACAGACCATAAATAGGAAGTACGTTACATTTAGTCATAATGTGAGCAGCTTAACTACTGTCTTGTGCCAGCACTACGCGAAAATGTAACCAGGACTTGCATTGAGTGAAATTACGGCTCGGTATGTGATCGTACTTTTAGATCGCTGACTGTTCGTAAGTGCCGATCACAGTGGCCGCGGAGTCTAAGGCACGAACCGTCTTCACCCGATCAAACAATCGAGGCATGGACGTCTGTGTGCGTTTATACTGTTTAGGTAGCGGCCTTGCGACGGGCTGATCCCCCGTCCAAGGAGTCCTACCGACTGTGTATTGTAATAAGAAACTGAACTGCGGACAAGGTTCAAAGGGCTATAGAGCCACAGAGAGGGAGCGAGAAAACACCCTATGTACACAAAAAAATGAACACCCCTTCTCTTTTTTACGCAACGAAATTATATCCACACTCTCTCCAAATATCTTCAATAAAAGAGGCTATCATTCCTAAACAATTTGCAATAATAATGTCACAACACGAAACGTGGCGAGCTAACACATTTCTTTTTTTTTAACTGGGGACAACACAATGCCACCGTACATACAATTAATTCTAACGCTCTCAACGACAACTGCACGAACAGAATATCGAACACTAGGCACGCTGGGTAGAAATAAAATGAATTACTGCCCGGTAGCACTGAGCCGAAAATTTCGTTTCGCCGTGGGTATAATTACAGCACCGGTGGCCTTACCGTCACAGGACCAGTTAGGCCTCACGCAGAGTAACGGCTACTCTACGTCACGAACTCGTTAGCTGTAC